ACCACATCCTCAGCCCTTTTTTATTTTTAGACAAGTTCTTTCTAAGCTGCTGAGGCTGGCCTCAAACTTGATTTCCTCCTGCCTCAGCCTATAATGGGATTACAGGTACCACCATATCCACCTAAAAAACTTTATGATTTATAAAATGAACTCTGATCACATCCCTTTCCTAGCTGGAAAATTTCTGTGTGACCTCCCAACAGTTCCTTCCAAGTCTAACTTCACCCTTCACTTCCCTTATTTTCTTCTACTTTGCCAGCCAGGCAAAGTGAATAAATTGGTATTTCTCAGTACACTTTAATCTTTTTAATTTTCATGTTTTTCCTCACATTTCTTCTGCCTGAAAGGTTCTCCTTTACCATTAGTATATGTTGAAATCCTATAGATACGGGCACCAAAAAATCATACTTCACAAATAACATTCACTTATCAATCTAAAGACATACATTTTTAGGATATTCTATGAGATTTCAACATTTTAAAAAAAGCTTAGGGCTGTGGTTGTGGCTCAGAGGTAGAGCACTTGCCTAGCATGTGTAAGGGACTGGGTTCAATCCTCAGCATCACATAAAAATAAAATGAAGATGTTGTGTCTACCTAAAACTAAAGTAAATAAATAAATATTTTTTTAAAAATAAATAAGTAAAGCTTAACTATTTTTACAGTTTCTTCCTGGGTTTGAATAGCATATTCACTATCAGGATAAGAAATGTGAGTTTTACCATAAGGATTAAAAAAACACAGAACAAAAATAAATTATGCAAAAAGCCAATTATACTTAAGGTTCATCTGTCTTTCAGCAAAAATGGAGATTTAACATGCAACTTAAATACCACTACCTCCAAATTCTATCAAATGTGGTCTATATCAATTTTTAAAATTTTGTTTGTCTTCTGACTGGATTGTAAAAATGTGATCTGAGTTATACCCTCACAGATCACTTAGAATATTTGGTACATGAATAGAAGAGCTTGGGAACAAGACATGTGGTAAGAAAATTTTGTAAGAAAAATGAAAGTGTAGGTTGGGGATATAGCTTAGTTGGTAAGTGCTTGCCTCACATGCAAAAGGCCCTGGGTTCAATCCCCAGCACCATAAAAAAAAAAAAAAAAAAAAAAAAGAAAAAGAAAAAGAAAAATGAAAGTGCCAGTTATTTGATAAAAGGTAAAAAGACAAACCTTTTGCAAGAAAATATAAAAAAGCAGGGGTTGGGGATGTAGCTCAGCGGTAAGTATTTGCCTAGCATGTGGGAGGCTCTGGATTTGAGCACAGGAAAAGAAAAGAAGAAAAGAAGGTTAGCAAACTCTTAAAAGAAAAGAAAAAAATAATTCTAGGTATAATAAGAATAAAAAGTTATGAAGATCTGGGCATGGTGGCACATGCCTGTAATCCCAGCAGCTTGGGAGGCTGAGACAGGAGAATTGTGAGTTCAAAGCAAGCCTCAGCAACAGGGAAGTGCTAAGCAACTCAATGAAACCCTGTCTCTAAATAAATACAAAACAGGGCTAGGGATGAGGCTCAGTGGCCGAGTGTTCCTGAGTTCAATATTCGGTACCCGTCCCCCAAAATTATGAAGAAATCATGTATACCTATATGTCAATAAAACGGAATACTGAATTATTTCCTATGAGAAATGAATGTCAAAACTGATAAAAGAACCCAAATAATCTTATGGGAAATTCCTAACAAATAATTTTCTCTGGAACCACCGTTCCAGAGAAAAGAAGAAAGAAAAACTGTATAACTCATTTAATGATCCAGGCAAAATACACTAAAAGGAAAAAAATTAAAGAAGACTGCTTCTCTTGAGTATTGATGAAGAATTCCTAAATAGTATTAAACAAAAATGCAACATACACAAGAAATATATCTCATAACAATGTTGGTTTTTTTCCAGACTGTAATGCTTTTACATTAAGAAAAAACTATCAATGTTAACACATTAATACACTAAAAGGAAAAAAAATGTGATCATCTCAAAATATGAAGAAACCTATGAATTTGTTGTAAATATTTTGGTGGTTTTAAGAATGCCCACAAATTCTTTCGAGAATGTGGGCTGGACTTAGTGATTCTCTTCCAATGTAAAGATGAAGTGGTGCTTTGTGACTTATAAGGGCAAGTAATGAAAGAATAGTATAATTAAACTGAAACAACTTCCCTTTTTTCTATTGGCAGTGTTCTTAGGGTAACCAAACAGGTCTAGTTGTTGAGAAAAATCTTCCCTTTCCAGAAGAACTTCAGTTAGTATGTGCAGAGGGAATGGTAGAATTACAAAACAATTTTGCAACTCCTAAATAACTTAGATAAGATCAAGTATTTATAGTATTAGATTAAAAAAACTAATGGTAAAATTAATATCCACATTGTGACAAAGAATCACCTCCAGATATTACCTATTAGTCAAAGGAGTAATCATGATGGAAAGACCTGGTTATCATAATCATAAATGAATATTCAATTTTAGTGTCATTAATAGTTCAATAATTGACAAATATGCTGGTGTGCTATCCTTAAAATATACAAGGACTCTACAAATCATAAGATGAAGAACCTCAAAGCTGGGAAAGTAGTTCGGTGGTTGAGCACTTGCCTAGTATGCTTGAGGCCCTGGATACAATTCTCAATACCACACACTCACCAAAAAAGAAGAAGAAGAAGATAAAGAAAACCTAAACAATAAGCTAACCAAAGGATACAAATATGTAATTGCAGAAAGGAAAATCTGAATGACTGATATATGAAGATGGTCAACTTCATTGTAATCAAATAAACAAATATTAAGACATTTTGGGAATATCCCTTTATACTCATCAAGTTGGCAAAAATTAGAAGGTAGATAAACTTCTGTAGCTATTCTTAAGAGTGATACACAGAACCTAAATAAGCTTATGTACAATAACATGGCAAGTCAATTCTTGGCCATATACCCCAAAGAAACTCTTCTAGTCCTCAAGGGAAAAGAATATATTCTTTGCAGTGTGGATTATGGTAGCAAAAAAGAGAGAAGCAATCTAAGTGTATAGTTCTGGGGGAACCGGTTAACAAAAATATGGTACACAATGGAATACTCTATATCAGTCAGAAATTACTAACTAGATATGTATGTAGCAACATGGAATAAATAGAATGAGACATATAACATAATGCTCTTATGTATATTAAACCTATGTTTTACATGTGGATATGCAAAACCCCTTGAAAAATGTGAATACACAAAGGACAGGAAAAAGGAAGTATGTAAAAGTATGTTAAAAATGCAGAAGTGTGTAATTGATGCACCAATATGAAGAAGAAGGGAACTGGAGATGGGGTAAGACAATGAAAAAAAACATACACACATCCCTAAACAATGATCTTTTAAAAATCAATGTACAGAGGTGAGTCTTGAAAACACAAATAAGTGAATTCAGTAAAACTGAACAGAAAAGGAAAAAACAACAACAACAAAAAAACCCAGGCTGGGGTTGTAGCTCAGTGATAGAACACTTGCCTAGCATGCATAAGGCACTGGGTTTGATTCTTAGCACCATATTAAAAAAATGAATAAATAAAATAAAGATATATTCATTACAACTAAAAATATATTTTTAAAAAATCTTACAGAAGAAAACAAAAGCCAGTGGTATTCTAGATGCTGTAACCTGCCTATAATCCCAGAGACTTGGGAAGCTGAGGCAGGAGGATTACAAGTTCAAGGCCAGCCTGAGTAACACTGTGAGACCCTGTATCAAATATAAATAAATAAATGCTAATGGCACACAAATAAAGAGAACATTCAAGGACTACACATCTAACAAATAACAAGCAATGTGGTTCAGTTATTTGGGTAAAAAAAAAAAAAGTGTTCTAATTTATTTACTTTTAAAAATGAAATATATTGAGCTAGGGGTACATGATAGAATGCTTGCCTAGCACACTTGAGTCACTGGTTTTGGACCCCAACACTACCACCTAAAAAACAAAACAAAACAAAACAACCAATATGCAAATAAGCTTCTTACAGACATAAAAATCAATATCAATATGCTTAGATATGTCATAACACTGAAAAAAAAATCAGTCTTCAAATTCTACCAATAAGGAAAAGGAAAATGAACTTAAAGAAATAATAACAAGGGCTGGGGTTATAGCTCAGTGGTAGAGTGCTTGTCTACCATGTGTGAGCACTGAATTCAATCCTCAGCACCACATGAAAAGAAATAAAGGTATTGTGTCCATCTATAACTAAAAATATATTAAAATAAAAAAGAAGTAATAACAAAGCAGACCATGAAAGCAATTGGCTTTTCCCATCCTGAAACTTTTTAGAAACATCAGCTTTAAGGACAGTTGTGTTGCAATCTCACAACAAGCATTCAACAGTTACTGTCTCTGGCATTTGTCCCCTGGACTAGATGAAACTAACCCTGAAATTTTTAGTCCCCAAAGGACCAAGGCCATGTTAAACTAAACTACATACTATATAACAGCACCCAGCACAGGCCTCTTCTAAGTAAGCATTAAATGTTTTAGGATATGTAATCTAGATTGTCCTTAGTATCTCTACTATTTCAGCATCTTGGTTTAGCATAGGTATTAAAATGAATAACCCAGAAAAAGAACAATTCAAATCTGCCAAAATAAGCTACTGATTTTATCTCCCCAATTTACCTAACCTATAGAAAAGAATACAATTACGGTGAAATAGTCATAGTATGGCACACAAAACTTGCTCAACAAAATATATGCTGAAATAAATTACTCATTAATTAAGAAGAGTCAATTGGTAGTTTGGTATATGTTAATAAATATAGTTAATCTTGCAAGTCTTTTGAAATAAAATAACCATGTACTAGCACATCTGAAAAAAAGGCAATTCCAAATAAATAAGATTAATGATTGAGATACAAATAAGAAAAATATGCAAAATATATCAAGCTAAATCACTTATCTTGCTATGTCTCAGCTGAACAGACTATATGCTTATCTCTCATAAATGGATATATTCTTATTCTTACCAATGGGGGGTTCTGTAGTTAGCCCCATGCTTTGAAGCAATGCTTCAGCTTCTCTTCTTTTCTTTTCAAGATCTGATTCTTCTTGCACAGGAGCAACAGCTTCCTTTTTCTGATCAGTCTAAAAGTGTTAAGTTAAAAATTCAAATTTGATAAACTGTGGTATAAAGGTGTATTAAGAACTGCAATGCAAAAAAATTATGAATGTAATGCACTCCTTTATTGTGATGTATAAAAGAAATAATAAAAAAAAATTTTAAATTCAAGTTTGAATATGGTAGGAAATATTTCTATGTGCAAAAAACGTATTTTTTAAATAAAGTGCTAACACTGTATATTTTTATGAGACAGTTGTTCTCAGGAGTTCTAGTAAATACTTTCCAAATAATATGTACTGAATTGAGCCACGTTTATATGAAATCAAGGAATTTTTACAAAACCTTCCCTGATAGATAAGTTCAAAAAGTACAGTCAACTTCGAATATAAAATTGGTGACCATGGACAGGAATCATGGAAATCTCCCCCCAGAGTAGAATAAAAGCTTAGCCATGTCATAACACTGAAAAAAAATTAGATGAAATTGGCATATGTTAATAAATTAACTTAAAATTCCTAATTTTAAAAGAAACTTTAAGTGAATAAACAATTTGATTTGTTGAAAAAGTATGACTATTTCAAACTTTTCTGTATAAAATCTTCATCGTTTTTATGCAACTTTACATAGAGAACATTTATTAAAAATTTGTCAGGAGAAAGTTTTTATTTTTTAAACTACATGGCTTATTTTATTTCTTTTTTAATTTAAGAAACAGGACCAGTTTGTAAGTTGCCAGACTGGCCTTAAATTTTGGGGCTCAAACAACTCTCCTGCCTCAGCCCCGTGAAGGGCTGGGACTATAGGCAAATGTCACTCTGCCCAGATTTCAGGTTTTATTTTAATAATATAAACACAATGTTGGGTTTAGATAAAATTAAGTATTACTTTTTGCACATAAAAACATTTTTTTGTTATGAAAAGTTTTGCCCATTAAATTTCAGTTATTTATGGTTTTAGTAAAATCTAGTTAAATTGAATAAACTTCAACATTCTCAGACCACACAAAATATCATATGTATAATTCAAGCTTTCAAAGTAAAATTTACATAACATATACATACATATATGTCTCAAATGATGTCAACTAGACAACTACTACTCATATAGTGAGTGAATTTTGTTCATCATAATATTCTATAATATTTTAACTTAAAGTCATCAGATTATTCAATCAAGATAGCAAAACAGACTATGCTAAAACTTTCCTGTTTATAATCTAGTAGACTGTTTATTATTATTATCTCTTATAATGTTTTATATAAGCTTTAAATTAGATATCATGTAGTAGAAATCCCTTAGAGGCTGCTTATGGCCCAACTTAGAAAACAAAAATTGAATTTGTGTTCAGCATTGGAGAGAGTTTAAAGCCACAGACAGTATGTGGAATGGCTCTATTGATATTAATCATGCTTCTACCAGTTAGCACTTTTTTTTTGTTTGTTTGTTTGTGTTGGGGACTGAACCTGGGGTACTCTACTACTGAGCTATATATATCCCCAGTCCTTCTTAATTTTTAATTCTGAGACACAGTTTCACTAAATTGGAGAGGTTGGCCTTGAACTTTTGATCCTTCTGCTTGAGCCTCCCAAGAGATTACAAGGCATGCACTATCACACCTGGGTCTATCAGTTAATTTTTAATGATATATCTAATATAAAGCTCCAATCTTCTTATAACAGTGTTTGATAGAAAGGTTCAGCATAAACTAGCAAATTCTTCAATTATAGACCTTTACAGAATCATAGCAATGCCACAACTTTGATATTTTCCAACTGATTTTTTTCCTTAAGCAATTTCTACAAGCCTTGGCTATTATTTAGACTATTACATATAAAAACTAGATACTTGGGGCTGGGGATGTGGCTCAAGTGGTAGTGCGCTCGCCTGGCATGTGTGCGGCCCGGGTTCGATCCTCAGCACCACATACAAACAAAGATGTTGTGTCCGCCGAAAACTAAAAAAATAAATATTAAAAAATTCTCTCTCTAAAAACAAACAAACAAACAAAAAAAAAACCTAGATACTAAAGGCATACTTAGCACAAACTATCTTACACTAGCCATTTAAAACATATCCATGTTTGAAAGTATATAAATATGTCTAAAGAGTTTCCATAGGGATAAATGTGTGCTTAAACACAGGAATAAGTAAAATATTTGCAGTTCAAGGACAATGTATATGCATATATGATGAAATAGATGATTCTAAAAATTGTAAGACCAAAGTATTTGGTTTACCTTTATGGCACTATCAAACCTACTACTCAGTAAATATATTTCAACGATTAACTCTTTTAAAAGAGACAAGTACAAATTTTATAATCAATTAAGCTATCTACTATACACACATAAACAAGTAAGCTACCTACTATATACACACACATACACACACATATATATACACACACACATATGTTTGCCATTAATATTATAAATTCTGACAAAATTACTGGCATATTAGACCAGCAAAATATACAGATAAATAAGTTCAAAGTTCAAATTACAATTGTGGTATATATGCCCTATGTCTAATACAATGCAGATGCTCCTTACTTTGTATAACAAATACCTTCCTTGAAGACCACATATATAAGTTGAACTTCTATAAATTGAATCTTATAAATGTATCCATTATAAATGTATCCTTTTATTCAGTAAAAATAACCCCAAACCTACATTTTATCAGTTTTGCCATTTTCATAAATCTGGCTTTTTTTAAAGTAAGATTACTTTAAAGTAAGATTTACTTGTAGTGCTATATTTGCCATCACAACTCCTAGATTTTTAACTATTTTGAAATTATTAAAGGTAAAAGTACTTGAAATAAAATCCAATTATTTTACACTGAGATTATTTTTCCCCCCAAGTCAAACATACTTCTTTTTTTTTCCTTTCTTCTTCTTTTCTCTTCTTTTCCTCTCTGATTTGGGCCAATCGCTGTTTCTTACGTTCCAATTCAGCCTTTAATTCACTTTTGTCCGACATGTTTGTGACCTTAAGAAGCATATAATTATTTACAATAATCATTACCTTGGTAAAAGCAGCAGACTTTATACTAAGACTTGAGAAAAATTATAAACACATGTATGTAAGAAATACTACCCTGTGCTGAGCACAATAGCTGGCACACAGTAAATGTCTTAATGTTCATGTTCCCAAATTTAACACATTGTCTTATTTTTTGATGACAATATATTAAGTCACTGGAGATAAAGGTCAAAATTAGCACTTAGAACAGACATTGTGGGATGGCATTAAGAGGTAGAGAGGATCTTAAGCTGTATAACATAGATGAAAACTATAAGTCTTGCTTTTGTTCCTAGAAACAATGGAAGGGAAAACAGGAGATTCCTATAAATTCTAAAAGTAGTACTATTAAAGACAAACAAAACACAAGCTACCAGCATTATCAAATCAAATCTCTCTACATATCATATGGCACTTTTTGAACAATTATCTGTGAACATACTTAAAATGCTCCATATTAGAGTGTAAGGTATTTGAAATCAGAGACTATGTTTTAGTCATTTTTGATATCTTCATAGCTTCCAGCAGAGTGACTTTAACATTAAATCGACACTGGATAAATGAGTAATAGGTAAGATAATCAGAGTTACAAATATCTTCAAAAAATTACATGTGCACTACTTGGCCTTCAGTTTTAGGAAGCATGATTTGAATTTTTCTGAACTGCAAAAAAGTAACCTAGGGGCTGAGCATAAGGTAGAAGCCAGGAACTTGTTGCCTTCTCTATATTACTGATTTAACATAATGATCAAGCTGTCAATGTCTCTGTATAACAGAAATATTAAATGCTTTAAGATCAAGAAAAGTGGGAGCATAACCTCTGGAAAACTTTTTGGGAGGAATCTCTTAAAAAACAGTTATTAAATCTGAATAAAGGTTAAGTTGGTTAAGGCGCAATTCCCTCTAGTAATAAATGCATAAATGAAATTTCAAAAGACCAAAAAGAGAGATGAATTTTCAAGTATATAAAAACGGTGAAAAGTTGACACAGTAGACCCTTAAATACGCATGTAATATTTACCATGATTCATTCAAACAAACTAAAACGAATGGCCCACAAGAGACCTGTGGATCTTCCTCCTTTTCTGACCGATAAAAAGCTTCATCTTAATAAGCTGGAGAGAAATTCCATTCATAACTCTGTATGCCAGGCACGACGCCTAATTTTTTGTTAATTATTTTTGCTCAGCGTCAACGAGATGCCAATACAAATATGCATGTTGAAGTAAGTGCATTTTTGGTCAAATACTAAGAGTTTGTCAGGCTGAGCCACAGCGGACCGGCCCTCCCATCCTCAGAGAGCCCAGAGCCTCTGCTCCATGACGGACACGTTTCATTTTCTTAAAACTCTAAGGGAAAAGAGTGTCTCTAGAATTTTGTGCTACAACCCTCTGCGTTCAGAGACTTTCCAACATATACAAGGTGAATAGAAACGCTATGCAAGCAAGCAGCAACGACCTTTATTCGTAAAATGGAGCAAGGCGAAAAGGAATTCCCTTCCTCCTGGGCTTATGGCCAAGAGGGCGCGGTCCAGGCTAGGGCGTCCGGGGAAGGGCCAGGGGGCGCCAGACAAGCTCAAAGCGCCCCGAGATGCCCCTGGAGGGTCAAAAAGAGAAAAGAGCTGACTCCTCTCCCCAGACCGCCTGAGTCACGGCCCGCGTTCCCCCGGCCTTTCCTCCCAGAAGCCGGGCCGGCGCTGTCAGCAGGAACTGCTAAGCCACCTGGCGAGTTCAGACTTGGGACACAGCAGGCACACGGGCCTTGAGGAAAGAACCATCAACTCACCTGTCAGGTGGCGGGATGGGGAAGAGTCGTCCCTTCTACAACTTCCCGGCAACGTCCCTAGTCTAAGCCCCAACGCCAACTGTAGCCACCACAAGCTCGGGCGGATTCCTAGTGCACACAAAGAGGGATGGGCGGCGGCTGCTACGGCGAGAGCTAAGGGACAAATGGCTCCGCCAGAACGAGGTCGCTCTCAGAAATAAAGGATGGGGCCCTGCAGTGGGTAATTGTAGCCCCTCCGTGACTTACCCTATGTAAAGCTAAAGCCGAGAGACGAAACAAAGAATCCAACCGGCCCAGGGCCCCGAAGTGTTAGGCTGTCACCAAAAGCTGGGAAGTCACCCTTACTATCCTGGGGCTGAGCACGCAACCACAGCCCTCCCCGATCAAGTTGACACTATCTGGGAGAACTACAAGTCCCAGCGACCAGAGAAACCTGCATGCGGCGAGCAATGCATCCCGGGAGTTGTGGTCACTGGTCACCGCAGGGTATGCTGGGATCCGTAGTATGTGTCATAGACTTTTCGTTTTCCCTCTTGGAGGGTTCAAAATCCCAGTGAAATGCTTATAGCCCCTCTCTTTAATGAGCAATGTCCGCTGGGCAATGCTCCCAATGCTGGATGTGTTACAATATGAGATCTTTTGTCTAGCATGTGTGAGAACCTGCACCCGGGGGAGGGGGAGAGATTTTTGGCCCAAAATTGGCAGAATTTTAGGGTGAAGAACATTTTAAAGATAGATATATAGATATAGATATATAATCCATAGGTAAAAATTCTAGGGCGGGGGGAAGGGGAGGCTTTATCGAGGCTTCGCGTGGCATCTGGGGAAAAATCTAGTATTTTGTTCCCAGTGTCATAGGGAACAAAATTTTTGATAAGAAAACATTTTGTGCTATTGGAATCTTAACCAAGCAAGAATGGTTTCCACAATCGTTTGATTTTTTAATATATAAATATATAATATATAAATAACTGTTAGATAACTTATATATCATTTACCAGAAATTTATGGATTGATACATATTTTTAATATATTTAAATTATTTAGAGTATTATTTGTCAAAGAATTAGAGCTAACATCAAAACAATATCTTTCCTATGTTATAAAAAACTGATAAGGAGCACATTACTCAAGTTTAGGACTGATCTTTGGGATTCAGATTCTCAGTCCTTGGGCTTATCATCTTTTCCTTTTCTTTCTATGCCTGTATACAATATAAATGTCTCAGAAATTAATTTGGAAAAGAAAACTTCAAATTTGAAGATTTTTTCCTCATAACTTCAAATTTCAAAGAGATTTAGAAATATACAAACATTGTCTTGCTTTTTCTTAATATTTGGTTTTCATTTATTCATTTGACAAAAATGTTATTAATTGCCTACCATGTACCAGTAATGGTGCTAAATGTCATGTATATAAGAAATAAAACACACATCTATCTTTTCAATGGAGAAAGGCAGAGATCTCAGGTCAACTAAGTATTTTGATGAACGTAAGTAAAGAAGTTATAGAAACACGGTGGGAAGGAAAACTTTTTTAGGAGAAGATGATTCCAAGATGTCTTCTGAAAAGTTGAGTAGAAGTTAAACAAAGACGATGCAGAACAAAACCTTAAGGAAGAAAGAGTATGCCCAAAATACAGACATATGAGAGAATACAATAGGGTAGAATCTGGAAATAATTTAAAAAAACTGTAGCCTACACAAGAACTGGGGAATGAAGTCATAATCAAGGGTGAAGTCACATATCCCAGTTTAGATTTAGCTGTACAAAAGATGTGAATCCACTGACAAATTTTAAGTAAAAAGATGGTATGATAAAGTTTGTATTTTAGATAGTTCTTTCAAAGTGGCCTAGAGAAAGACTGATGTACAGGTTATTTTCTCTTTGTCCCCTAAATTCTTTGTCTGCCCTTCTTTGCCAACATCTATGATTCTGGAGGTTGACCTTGGCTTCTTTAAGGACCAACTTGTGGTTAGATTTGAATTGAGACAGACCTAGAAGAGTATATCAGAAGGCAGGTAGAAAGTGAAGTTGGGACACTTCTTCCCTACTTGCTTCCTCCTTTAATGTCACATTTCCAGTAATGAATTCATCGCTTCATGCCTGTATCAGGTGTGACTTGTTCCATCTAGTTTTCCCTGGTGTCCAGTAATTATTTTCTCCTTTTGTCTCTTTAAACAAAACAAAAAAAGAAGAAGAAGGAAAGGAAAGGAAAGAAAGAAAAAGAAAGAAAGAAACTAAAAAAAGTCACAGGCTGGGGTTGTGGCTCAGCAGTAGAGCCCTCGCCTAGCATGTGCAAGGCCCTGGGTTTCATCCTCAGCACCATGTAAAAATAAATAAATAAAATAAAGGTATTGTGTCCAACTACAACTAAAAAATAAATATTAAAAAAAAGTCACAAAACACTCTAACTAGTTTCTGAGTGCCTCATCTCCTGTTTGCTCTCTTACCAGTGCTCACCCCTCTGTAACTGGTTCTTTCACCAAAGTATTTTCATTTGAACTAGCTCAGGTGGATTCTGTTTCTTGCTAAGACCCTTACTAATACAACTTGCTTGAGGAGATAGAGTTGAAGAGAAGAGGAAGGGTAAAGACTGAGCATGGAATGCAGTTAGAAGACTTTTGGATAGTCTGAAATCATAAGGGCATAAACCAATGCATTTTAGTGGAAACTGAGACAAGTAGATGGGCACTGGGTTTGTTTCTCAACACCACATACAAATAAAATAAAGGCATGCTGTCCTTCACAACTACAAAAAAATTTTTTTTTTAAATACAAAACAGGACTGGGGGTGTGAGTTGGTGGTCAAGTGCCTGAGTTCAATCCCTGGTACTCCCCACCCACACACACACAAAGCAGATAACTGAAAACCAGTAAAAATGCTCAATAACACCTTCCTTCTTGCTTCAATGAGCTGGCAAGAAAGTAAGGAATATTTAGGACAAAAGAAGGCAGAAAGAATTTGGAATGTAGATTTGCAGAGCACTTACCCAAAGTGAGAGGCCCTGGGCTCAATACCCAGCACCCCCCCCCACACACACACACACACACACGGGAGAGGAAACCCAGATGGCATTTGCCTAAACTGGTGAACTTGATTATGGTTAGAGAATGAGAGACAAAGCCAAAGGCCTATCCAAAACTGGGTTTTAAAAGGAAACCTAATATATCCTTAATGTAAGAAATCAACCAGCACCTCCATCCCCCTCTTGGAAAATTGCCCAACAATCTTGGCAGAGTTGGAGTTGGATTTGAATTAGGCAATCACAATTGGAGCTTCACATGATTTACATCTTGAAATTTCAGTACCTGGAGAGTACATTAAAAACACAGTCTGAAAAATTTGGCTTAAAGTTGTTGTAAACTTGTCATGCCCTCCAGTGCTTGGGAGAAACAAACATGTGTTTTGGAAGAATCAGTTTTGGAACAATCAATCTTTATTTCAGGCTTTGAAGGAATCAACATTTATAAATTAAAAAAAAAAATGAACTAAAAAAAAACAAACACATGAGGAAATAAGGCATCCAAAACAAGATCGAAGAGCCAACCCAAACAACAAATAACAGAGTCAAATTCATGAAGACTTAAGTTTTGGAATGAACACACACATAATATAAAACAAGTATGATCAGTGTTAAAAAATAAAAGGAGGAACTAAAATATCAATAGAGCTGTTTTGAAAAAACACCAACTAGAATTTCTAGTTATTAATAACATAATAACTCCAGTTAAAAACTCAACAAATTAAAAAAAACTCAACAAATATGTTTAACATAGCTAAAGATACCAATGTAACCCTTTGATCAAGGCAAGAAAGGCCCATTCTTAGATGCTACACTTTGGAGTCTGCTGTTGCCCTCAGGCAGTTACAAGAGTAACTGTAACTCCCAAATACCTGGGATTACAGGTGTTCACCGCTGTGCCCAGATAACGGTGTTCACTTTATGTCCCTTGCAGTGTAGTATAGAATTGAGAGTAGAAAAAGAAGGGTTTGGAGTTGGCAGTTAGAAATCAGCTCTCCCTGTGCCACTGCACAATAGAGTATCTAGTATTATAGAGCTATAGATATCCCAAAATTTAAAATTTAAACCTGGACTTGGTCAAGGTAGAAAGATGTAAGATTATTTTATCTTATGCTTTCTTACCTTGATTTTTAACTTTTAAATATATCTATACAGTATGTGGCCTTCCATTTGTACTCTTACCCAGGGTCCTAGAAATAAAAGGGGCAGATCTGGAAGAAAAACATTTTGTATTAAAAAGCATATTAAAGCAATTATCAAGAATGCCATACAGAAAGACAAAAAGATATAACGTAAGAAAGACATGAAGACATGGAGGATAGAAGGAAGTGTAATAAGCAGTAGTGAAGTTCTAGAAGGAATAGGGAGAGGGTGGAACAGAGTTAATATCTGAAAAGATAGTTTTACATAATTGGTGAAAATCACTAATCCACAGATTCAAGAATTCCAATTAATTTGCAAATGTGATAAATGAAAAGAAATCTGGACCTCAATGCAGTAAAATGAAACTGTTACAACAAAATAAAACAAAACAAAAAATCCTGGAAATAATTCGAATGTCCATCAACTAGTGAATGGATAAAATCATGATGCACATATACAATAGTATAGTACTGGCAACAGAGAGAAATGTGCTACTCATATATACAATGATATGAAAGAATTCTGAAAATATGCTAAGTGAAAGAAGTCAGGCGAAGATCATATGCCTGACTTCTACATAATACACACTATATGATTGCATTAATATGAAATCCTAGACAAGGCAGAGCTATAGTGACAAAAAGCCAACCAATGATTGCCTGGGGTTGTGGTGGGGAGGACTGACTGACAATGAACAAGGGGGAACTTTTTGGAGTCTTGGAAGTGTTTTGATTACTGTGGTTTGCAGCAAATTTTTAAGTCAGGAAATGTGAGCCTTTCAACTTTATTGTTTTTCAAGATTGTTTTGCCTATTTGGGGGGTCTCTTGAGATTCCACCTAAATTTTAGGATGTTTTTCTATTTCTGCCCCCCAAAAAGGCCACTAAGATTTTGGTAGAGACTATATTGAGTCTCTAGATCACTTTGGGGAGTAGTATCTTAGCAATACTAAGTCTTTCAATCTATGGATATGAACTGTTCTTCCTTTTATTTAGATCTTATTTAATTTTTTTCAGCAATATTTTTAAAATTCTTGCTTTCCTTGATTAAAATTATTCCTAAGTATTTTATTCTTTTTGAAGCTGTTATAAATGGAATGTTTTTTTTTTAATTTCCTTTTTAGATTATTCACTGCTAAGCAGATCAACTAAGTTTTGTTGTGTTAATCTTATATCCTGCAGCTTTTCTAGATTCACTTATTTGTTTTAACAGTATTTTATTTGTTTTGCTTTTGTTTTG